CGAAAAATTTTCGAATTCATCGTGTTAATCGTAGCTCGAATAAACTGAATCAGCTGTCTCATACTGAAATAAAGGGATGCTTTTTGCATCTCGACATACTATTCTAACATAATCATATGCTAAAAATAAGATAACTACAAGCAGATTAAACACAAAGCGGAATTATTTTGAGTGAGAGAGCAGTATCGAAAATTGTTTTATTTGTAAATCAAAAGAAGTTTGTTTTCTTCTTAGATCAATAAAAGACACTACAATGTACATATATATCAATGAAAAGTATAAGTTGAAACATTTTGATTTTCATGTTCGGAAAGTAAGGAGATAATATAGGATAACCTCCATTGACAAATCAAAATCCAACATATCGTCTAGTGAAGGGCTAGAGTACCGAAACAACAGACATGATAGCAGAATGTAAAATGCAGGCAAGGCCCATTTCATAATGATCATCGATAGTGCACAGTTGAAGACACTTTGTTTACAAAAGGTTTCTGTATGAATAAGTAAATCATCGAATTGGACATGTGATCTCGTTTTAGCTATCCAAACTGTACCCTAAACAGACAAATATCATCAAAGAGACAAATTAAACAAAACAGTTTTATATTTCTTACAATAGTCAACCAGATTATATAGAACAAACCAAGACCGGTCGCCAATATCATCAACAATTTTGAGCAAGGTATATATGCTTTGCGCATACATTTTTGAGTTGGAGAATGAGTATCAGTGGAAATAACTACCGTACATATACACTATATTGTAGCAAAACCAGAAGAAAGTCATGTTTGAAAAATACAACATGATTATACAAAAGAGAACTGTTCAGAAGTAAAGAGTTCACAATAAGAAAAGAACTAGTAACACCGGAAACGATGAGATAAATTGGAATGTAACCATCAATTGGGTAATGATTCAAGTATTTGGCAGCAAAGTACAATTCTACTATAGGAATAACAAGAGAGATTATAAGAGATCGAAAACGGCGTACAATATTAAATGGAGCGCAAGTTAACGCATGATCCAGAGATATACTATATTTTTCAGCTTGTGCTTGTAAGTTGTCCTGATATTGAATATTGATGTTAACACTTAGAATAGAAGGCGTGCGGAACTCTGGATAACTCAAGCTGAAAAATTAAACAGAAGTAGAATTTAGAAGAGTCCATGAGAACAATTTCAATCACAAATTAGATTAAAATCTATTTTAAGTGTGATTAAAAATTGATTTCAATAACACGCTTAAAATATGATTCTAAGTGATGGCTTTTTTTCAGGTGCAAAAACGAAATTTTTTTATATAATGTCGTAGATTTAAATCGATTTCAATCTTATTTGTAATTCAAATTTCTTGCTTCGATAATAAAGGGTGTAGAATAGGCAGACTAGTAAAAGTTTGACACTCATTTGTTTGTTGCTCATGATTGCCATGGTTGCTTGAAAAAATAAAGTTTTCTTCAATATATTTTATGAAGTATTCCGGTCTCAAACTGTCTTTTGCTTGTATATCCGATTCAGAAAACACTATGTCGTTAGTATTCCCATTGATTATATTATTTTGTGATATTTGGGTGTGAATGTGGATGTGGATGTAGTATAAATAAAGACAATACCCACATTCACACCCTTTGAGGATTGATGAAGTTATTAGGTAGGATAAGAGCATTTATGTGATTGACATGTATTCAAAAAGTCTACGAAAATTCGAGAAATGATTTATGACCATAGTAGAAAATTTTGCAGAGCTTATCATTCTACCATTTTTCTTTCATAAAGAAAAGGTAAGCGGTGTGAGTAGCGAGTATCTAAATGTTGATATAGATGTAGTTAAGGTAGCGTATGAGTATAGATATAGGTGTGCTATGGATAAAAGACATTGTCGCACCTAGAACCCTACTGAGAAAGATATCCACAAATCTTCATCCTTGATTTGATAGAACTATTGAAAAAAGCAACGAGTCTTATCGATCCATTGGAGAGCATCGTATTTCATGAGGGAAAAGAAATAGTGATATAATATTCGCTATTTATTGAAGAAAAATGAGTGGCGACGAACACTAACATTGATTAATTGTCTAGATGCTCGGTTGGTATCTAACATATCAGAAAAAAAGAAAGGACAAGCCATAGACGATAGACTATTCATAAATATAACTAAGATTGATATACATGCTACAAAAAAAGTCAAAATTGTTTTCACAAATAAAAAATCGCGAGACGTTTTAACAAAAAGATCAAAAATTTTATTATTTTTCATATCAAATTTTATTATAAAACCAGCCGTATATAATAATTGATTTTCGAAAAAATTCATACCACAACAGTTTAATTAATTATAAGTTAGTGTCCATAGAATACAATTTCAAACATCAATCATCATTTGTGTCGTGTATGCATTGTAGTTGATTGCTATGCATATGAAAAAAATAAGAATTTATAATGTTTAATCGTGATGAGATTATACTTTCAAAATCTAGCTCGTTAATCAATCTATAAACACATTAATAAATAGATAGTTTGACACTTCAAGATATCAATCAGTTAATAATTAAAAGTCTTAAGTGAGTAGTTAGTAAGATATTCAATTTGTTAGATTAAATGAAAAAAGATGACGTGATGTGTTGAATAATAAAACATCATCTACCTGCACATTGGTTACTTAAAGGAAAAAGAAAAAAATAATATAATCTATTTATGTTTTTGAAATTTGTAAGTGAGAATTGAGAAGTAATGATTCTGAAATATGACCATGTGTTGCATTCTTTGATCCTACATTTTGAATGAATAGATTAGTTAGAATGTTCTACAAGATTTAGATTTTTTCGAAAATTTAATTACGTTTCGGAATGAAAGAAAACAAACGATTCTCATCCAATGAAGCTTCTCAATAGCTTTATTTTAATGTAAAAGTAAAATTTTTCCTGCTTATTTTTTTTTCTTATGTCGTTTGTTTATAGAAAAAACAATAAACATACATAAGTCGTCTGCATCTGAAGAATGGCATTTAGATCTTTTACTACGGACACTATCTGATGTTTTCAAACCATCCATTAATAGTTCAAGATTTCCAGAGAATTGAGCTTGCTAAATAGAAAGTTTTATAGATAAGAAATAAACAATAAAAAATGTAGTATTACTTGAGTACTGATTTTTTGCATACGATTTTCAAGTATTCGAATGATACTTGATACATTATCATTTGTTGGTTGACTGAAAATATACAATACCGGCAAAACATAGAATATATGGATGCTTGCAACTTTAAGGGTAGACTCTCATCCAATCACACTGTCGTTCTATTTAAATCGTTACGCATTTTGACGCTTAACTGTTTAGTATTGCTCCACAAAAAACATCTGATATTTTTTTATTAATATCATATCAGAAACATTATTATAATAGTGTTGATAGACTTTTAACACTTACGATAGTTGATCGTCGAGGTCAGCATTATCAACTAATTGTCGTCCTGTTTTTAAAAACTTAAAATAAACTTCATCACCAAGTGCATCTTCAACTATTTCAATATTTGCTGATTTTTTTTCATCCAGTGAAATTTCTAAATACAAAAAAAGAATTTCATATAAACTATGTAACATGAACCACACTTATATCTTTACTGTATTCAGTTCCAGCTACATGTTGCGCATATTTCTCTTTTATAAACTTTGATTTACGCCAACATGCTAATATATACCACATCAATCGCCAAAGATGAGAAAAGAAAATAAAAGGTGGTGGCAATGCTGGACGTGCTAAATATTCACACACTAATGAATATCGTTGGAATTTCCAGATACGATCTGCATTAACATGAAGACGATCGAATGTATTACTAGATTAAAATAAAATAAGTCATACAAATGAGCAACTAAATATAATGATCTCGAATCGAATTCGGAACTAAAAATAAATTTTACGAAAAAAATAGAAGTCATTCTCTCATTTTCAAGTCATAATCGAGATATTTCTATTTCAATCGTACTAATTACAGTAAAGTGTGAAATTCAAGAAATCAAAACTGAACATTTCAAAACATGAAATTACAATATATACATGGAAATTGTAACAACGTTTTGTGCGTCCCGTTTTCAAGGAGACCTCATTATCATGACTAGCACATGTGACTTCAACATAATGATTGTTTGAGGATAACTGCTATTTATATAAAATGTTTGCTGTTTTTTCTACTTGAATGAAGAAAACAAAACTAGAGATTCGTCAACTGAACCCAATCCAATGCGTTCTAGACCAATAAACTTTCAAGTAACTATATCCTAGTATATTTTTTAACAATAACTAATCTTTAGTTATTGTTAAAACAATTCTTTTGCTCTGGCTAAGAAATATCAAAATGGAAATTACTTCCTGAGTCAAGATCTTCAACAATACGTATCGATGTAATATACACTAAACTGGTTCGATAGCAAATTAACCAATCATTTGATTGTGCATTTTTTTTTAATGTTTTCCCTATATAAACTGTCAAATGTTTTTACTTTACTTCACTCTATTGCAGAGAACAGCTTTATTACTATATAAGATTATACGCATAAATCTAAAAAGTTAAGCTATTAAAATGTTACTGCCGTTACTTTTGAATATCCTTAAGTAATTCTTCAACGATTAATATGAACTTTTCATTATTGTATTGGATATTTTCAAGAGTTTTATCTCATTCATAGATATTATTGCCAATGATCGACGCATACTCTAATACATGAAGTCGTGTGAAACAATTAGTCTTTGGAAAATTTCTCTGAATTTAAAATGTAAATAGTTTTGACATATCCTCAGAGTAGGCTGAACTATGAAAGTAACGTTTCTATCCCTTACTGATTTAGATTGCATTGAACTAATTCCATTGGCTATGACCTCTAATCATGAGTAAATCAATCGAAATCAACTTATAAAAACTACACCATTTCTTATAGTAACTATACAGAATCTTCGAAATGTAATATTGTTTTTTGTTTTCAATACCTGAACATAGCAATAAGTAAATTAACCAAGAGTATGGCAAGAATAAACATATAGGCTGCTAGTAAAATAGATGCTGCGTAACCTGTTGCTGAATAATTATCTTAAATGAAGAATCAAAAAAACGAAAGAAACATTATTATTCACTTAAAATTTCTTGTCTTTTTGTTTTATATCCATACCTTTGACTGTTTCTAATGCCATTAATTCTCCAAATATTTGCCAATACGCAATACTACCAATTTCTCGCAGCATATGCCATGAAAATTTTTTTACACCATGTACTAATCCATAAAATGGTATGCCAAATGCCAGAATGAATACAAAGAATACGAATATAAAAAATTTCATATCATTTACCTAACAAAAGAAAATATAGCAAAGAACATTCGATTAGATTATTTACCATTTCACTAATCATAACAAGTTTAGGTCCAAGTCGTCTTACAGAAGCAAACATATCCAATGAACGTATAAACCAAAGTGATAGATCAATTGATAGAACAATACGTGCTGCACAAAAGCATTCTGATACGGGAATAAAACGAAGTATAAAACCAACGAAAAATAATATTATAGATAAAACATCTAATTTATTCCAGAAGGTTTTTAAATAAGTCATTATTGGATTTCCGTTCGATTGTGATTTGATTGACCATAACTATAATACGAAAATGATATATAAATACAATAAGACAATAGATTATATATGTACGAATTTTTATATTCGAATAAATTACCTGTCGAATTTCTTCGCAAAGTAATGTAAAAACCCATATGGCAAGTAGAATTTCAATATTAGACGGTTTATTACGGCGCTGAAATCCGTATGGTTTTGATTTACTAGCATTATATTGATTATTACTTGATGTATGATTTATAATTGATGGATTATTATCATTGGCAGTAACAGAGTCTTTATCAGCTTTTGAATCTTGAGATGGTCCACATTCATATTCTTGAAAATCATAGAGTGGAAAAAAGTCACATAATATTAAATAGGAGAAAAGTAATAAAAATATCACATGGAAATACTAAAATAAAAAAATAATAAATAATAAATAATAAATAAAATTATAAGAAAACTAAAGAACAAATCAAAAGTTGGTATTCCTCTAAGACAATTATTGTCAGCTATCTCAAACTTGTATTGATTTGATGATTCATCATAAAATTAGAGATTATCAAAATCAAGGTCATCGAACACAGTTCGTCCGATTATGTTTGTGAGTATGATTTTGGTGATCATTCGTCATCTGCAGACTTCGTGACTCTCATATAAGTCACATCTGTTTGTTACCAATATTGTGCGGCTTAATAAATCAATAATTCGTTTCATTGGTTTCGACAGAGTAATTTTCATTACTGGCATCGTATACTATATTCATGTTACTTTTGGGCTACTGTAACTGAGAAATTTTTTTGATATTGTTTCAGGAATAATCGAAGAGAAATTTCATTAAACATACAAGATTTTATGCTCAATAAATGTATTTTCTGTTATTTGATGAATAAAGCCAATTCCATATTCAATCGGGTTTTTATTTTCCTCAAAAGTTCGAAAAGGTGAATCTCTATAGCTTCTATTCTACATCATCACTAATCGTGAGCAATAGTTTTCTCATAATGATAAGACTATAATAGGATAGTAAAAAGCTTCAGTGTGGAATACTAATTTCGAACCTGCTGAAGCTTAATATAGCATGAGGTCAAACAAATAAATCATATCAAAAATTTCTTCATCAAATCTAGTTCATTCCATTATGCTTTATTCAATTGATATTTTATTTTTAATAGCTGCCCATTGTAAGTTTTCATAGTGAGTCAAAAGCGAAATAGCAATTATAGATGTAGGTGCGCAAGTATCGAGGTATATAAGAAAAAGACAACGGTCATTCCCATTAACACCTTCTACAAACCGAATATATATTCGAAAATTGTAAGTCGGATTTTTCTTAAGAACATGTTACAATTGAAAAGAGAAATTTCATTTTCAAACAAGTTTTTTTTCTAGAAAAATTATATCATTTTGCTCAGATTTTGATGCGCTTTTGCCTATATTGGTTAATAATAAGAGTAATTGCATAAATAATAGTTCTTTGAACGACCATTTTTACTATCACTAATGAAGATAAAATTTTTGGTGTCAATTTTAAAGCTATTGTTTGATAATGAGAAAAAAAGCTTTTTCAAAATATGAAAATGAGATTCTTTGTCGATAAATGTATGCTTCATTTGTTTTTAAATCGAAACTGGTAAATCAAAAGTGGTAAAATACTAAAAAAATATCTTAAATTATATCTACTGATACGAAAATGTTTGCTTGATAATTTATTCAAAACATACGTCATGTTGCGCACATGTTTAACCCAAATAGCTCTCAATAAAATCTACCTACTGTTGAAAGAATCAGCTCACTGATTACTAAATGCAGCTGAGTTACATTAAAAGTAAGAATATCTTAAAATTAGTTTCAGCACGTTATATTGATTTATCGATAGGAATTGAAACTTTCAAATCATTCTTTAGTTCTGAAAATTAAATATTTCCTTTGTGTAAAAGTCACATATGATATTTATCTAGTCGAATACTTACTAAATTATAAAGATATTTAATATATGGAGCACGTACAAATTTACCAATATTGGAAAAATATTGAGTGATTTTAGTTTTGCACCTAAAGAAATAAAACAAAACAAAATATTTCTATTTATTTAATCAGATTATATAAATAATTCAATTAGAAATTAGCTGAAAAGCATTGAAAGTGTAAGTAGCTATTAGTATTATGCTTTTTCGTCTATAAATAATCTTGTTTTTTACTTGTTAAAACGGCCAGTATTGACAGACGGAAGAAGAGATTTATTTGAGTCAGCTACGTCTGATAATAATCGCACTTGTACTGAATCTGGGGCGCTAGAAAAATGAGAATGGCAAACAGAACAATTGAATATGAATTATTGAAAGCACAAAAATAGTAATCGAAGTTTACAGCTATATGTTACATGAAGTAACCTAAGATGCAAAAGTATCTGCGCAAATGTCATACACTATTGTACGGTGAGGGTACAAAATAGAAGTTGAACTGACACGTTTTCTGATAGAGTAAAAAAAAAAAGGTCTTTCGAATGATATTTGATTTTTTCATTCATTATCATCAATAAGACTAACACAAAAAGAACATAAAGTGATAGAAAAGTAAATTATTACCTATCATATCTGTTCTTCAAATTCTATTTCGAAAACAACAGTTTCTCGCTTTGTATATAAAAAAAAGGAATTTCATGTCGAACGACATATGATGTTTTTTTGAGAAAGTTTTTAAAGCGCAATTGCATGTTTGCATGGTATTCTTTTAGAAGGGTATTTCATCTATTTACGTTCATCACTCTATAATATCCGTCAAGCAATACATCTGTGCAAATGTATACGCAAACGTTTACTTCCATTCAGCAATCGTCATCACAAACAATCGTAGGCGGCGGAGGGATTTTTCAGTGTGTAAAATTTCGATTTCTGATCATGAAGCCTAGATGAAACTCATGAAGGGTGATAGCGCACCTAAATGATAGACTTTTAAGAAAAGAATTTTGTATTTAGAGCTTGCGAAAAAGATTAGCATTTTCCTGAGCCTACCCTAGGTTTCATTGTTGCTCTTATTAGTATTTTATTTTTAAGAATTTCATAGTAAGCTACATCAAACTTCACCGACAGATTTCAAATTTCATCGAAAAATATGCAACCGTTTGAGATTTATAACGTTTTGAATTTTTGATAAAATTGGTTTAACATGCAACAAATTTTCAAAACGTTATAACTCTAGAATAGTTGTGTATTTTTCGATGAAATTTGAACTCTGTCGATGAAGTTTAATGTAGCTTACTACGAAGTTCTTAAAAACAAAATACTAATAAGAGCAACAGTGAAACCTAGGGTAGACTCAGGAAAATGCTAAATTTTTTCGCAAGCTCTAAATACAAAATTCTTTTCATAAAAGTCCATTATTTAGACCCGCTACCACCCTCTATGAGTTTCATCTAGGCCCCATAATCAGAAATCGAAATTTTACACATTGAAAAATCCCTCCACCGCCTATGCAAAAAATGATAATATTTTATTTTAGCTACATTTTACATCTTCGCGTTATTCAAAACAGATTCGACAGTTTTTCAACGCAATTCAGATCAAATTTTAAATCGTACACACAATCCTCGGAGTGTCCGTCAAGCTATTCTAATCGAAACATTTTCGTCATTACTGGAACAGACAGTGTATGAAGAAGCTTGGGAAATAAACAAATTTTTAACATTTAAGTCAACTGGCCAAAAGAATAACTGGATGTGATGCAGACTATTTTTTCTACTCTTTTCAATGAAATATAAATCACGAAAGTCAAATGAATTCTTGCTTTAAAGTACACTTGGAGCATTTATGTGGATACTTTGGTACCGTACAATAATTCAGAAACCTTACAAATTTTTTTTGAGTGATCTCAGCAATTGATTTTATTCTGGTTCTCACGAGGTAATATTCACAGAATTCTTTATTCTTTTCAGCTAATATCTCCGCTCATATGAAGGATGTGCTGAGCTATGAAAATGATGCAATAATAAACGTACTAATGGATATTTTTTGTTGGCAGAGTTATTTGCTGTAAGAAGCATCTAAATGGGATAGAATATGGATACCAAACTTGCTGACAGATCGAGTATTGAGATCAATCTGCCTGTTCGAAAATGTTTTTCATGTGCTTACTCTTTTGGGAAAATGTTTTAACTCGTTCTGTGACATATGATCGAACGTGGTATGTGATCCTCAAAATGTCTCATTGTTCTATTTTAGTACACTTATACACTCAGCTATATTGCTAAAGTTGAATAGTCATAGATCGAATGGCAAGAGAAAAAAATGAGATATTCAGTAATATTGCTACATGAAGTATTGTCATAAAGTTAAACAAAGAAAAAAAAATAATGAAAATCTGTTGTATCATTTTTCGAAAAATTCAACAATTTGATTACATATAATGATATAGATGTCATGAATACACGTCTCTCGAAAATAAACTAACTATTCATGAGTGATATTTTTTCTTTGTAAGATTGCTTCGTGGAAACAAGTAATAGAACATCTTATAATCAATACCTATCACCAATATATACTGTTTTTGACATGGATTTTTCATAGAGATATGATTTCTTTATTGAATCCTAAAAATCATAAAAGAACTGGTTATTTGTGATAGACATCATGAAGCAACTGATTATGTACATACATTGTGAAGCGCTGTTTTATCTTCTATTTTAACTAATTCGTTTTGATAAGAAAGAAATCCACTATACCAAAGCATAAATGTTGAAAAGACAATTGCACGATTAGTTACTCGTTGATCAATACTTCCAAACCTATATGAAATATTAGTTATTTTTGTTTAGAATATTTTTTGTCAAATATTTATTTTTAGCATACCAAATTTCCCTAAATATAGTTTGTATAGCTCGTTGAGCAATAAAATGTTTAGCATCAGCTGCAACAGCTAATTCTAACCAATTTGCATTACCATAAGCTGGTATTTGTCGTATTATGGCTTGTCTACATAGTGCAGCATTTGTTTGATTAAGTTTGTCAAGTATTTGTACAGCTAAATTTTCAAATTCATCGGCTGATTCATAATAACTATTATCATTCTTTCTATGAGCATGAATTTGATATATTAGTTTGGCAATTAATGCAGCACCTAAGAAATATATTCCCTTCAGTATGTCATTAAAAATAAATATCTAACTCACAAATTTTATTTTTGCCACGAGACCATAATAGTAATGCTAAATCTCGTCGACCTGCTATAATCGACCAGAGGAAAAGTTCTTTCTCAACATTAATGTGCGTAACGGTATCAGTTGTTGATCCTTTAAATAGGAAATAAACGTATTTCATTAATTATAATACATAAATAACATGTATTATGATCACGAAAAGAGAAAGAGGAGTGAGTGTAATAATTGATCACAGATTTAATTTCGATTGATTTTTCTGTCATGATAATTGATATTTTCATTATAAAAGAGAAACGAATTCTCCAGAAAAATTTTCATTCCAATTCTATGAAAGGTCAATTCCGTTTTTCGAACTAGAGAATAAATCAAAACTATTTTAAAATTGTATCCATTTAGAATTATTGTTCTCTTTGACCACTATCATTATATTGAATAATAAACTTTCTAGTAATATTAAGATAATTCTTCAAAACATAATATCTTTTCTTCTTATGACAATACATATATGATGCATATCAAGCGACTGTTGTAATTATCATTTAACTCTTCATCCGTTCTCCTGACGAAAATTTCGATTTCAATTTACATTCTTTATTTTCTTCGAAAACATGTGCAGGTATTTCAATATGGAGTTTAACCGTCGGTTCAGACAATTCTGTTAGTAGTCAGCCAAAAAAAAACATCTAACAAAAGTTGTTGAGAAATCTTTATTTTATAGAACTGCTTCTTTTGATTATTTAAAAAAAACATTTCTATTTACATCATGAGATGGCGGTACTAGAATCAAAGTACTATGAAAATGAAGCATATTTGATGTCTGTCATTATTTTAACTCTGACATTATCATTTCTTGATGAAAATGAAAGCTAATTTTTACTGAAATGATCATTAGAGTAAACTCTATAAAATAGGATTTATCAATATGTTTTCGCATAGTTTTACCGTTTTTGTTTATTGATAATCGATAGAAGTACGTTATCAAACGTTAAAATGTAGTCGCTCATGTTTTCAGAGCTTTTATGTGAAAGAACATCTTAGAGGATCTTGTAAAGCTCTTGAGAAGTCAGATATGCTAGAGAAAAACTCAAGAATTTAAATAAACTATTAAAAAATTGTGAACATTTAAGAACACAAGAAAATTCCATTAGATTTCAGAAACAATAAATCTAGTATTTATTTTTGGCAGAAATGTGATTTTTCTCTTTTCAATGGATAATAATAAACTTTTAATTGATGAATAAAATCTTGAAAGCTGTTTCTAACATCAGTATTAGAGTTAGCTCATTTGGTCATGATTCAGTTTACATGTACAGTAATGCAAAGAAAATGATAAGTATTAGTGTTAAGATCAAATGTTTGCAACTCTTCCTTGTCCTTATCGTTTCAATTATAGATCATAGCAACTAGTATTAAACGTGATTACTTACTCCAGCTTATATTTCATCTGATATACTTTCAAATGAGAATTTCTTCATGTGTTCTTATTTCAATCATTCGAATGCAGTCAAACACATGAAATAACTATGTCTTCGTGAATAATAAACCTATTTTCTACATCATAATGTGATATTGAACTTTATATTGATAGAAATTTCAATTCATTGAAACATAAAAATTTACAAAAACATGGCTTTCGTAGAATTTCGAAGATATATCTCGTTTTTTAAAGAAATATGTTTAGAACTTACTCTCCGTTTGTACATTACTATTATACTCATTGTCTGGTGGTTTTCGATAATGTTTTCGTCCACAACAAATACTGATTTCATCGTCATTTTCATTAATTAATTCAGAATTCGGTGTCATACTTGCTGGAGACAGTACATCAGTAATTTCAAAATGATCTTCTACAAATTGTTGAATTACTTCATGTATGACTCCTAGCGGGGTATCGCACTCTCCTGATAAGCCATGATACTATTTTTGTTCGAAATAATACAAAATGAAAACAAAGATATGTACATTGCTCAATTTCATTTACTTCTTTCATTTCATCAGTAGCCATATAAAGTTCACGAAGTTCAGACGGATCATTAAATATATTCATTAATGAAGAATCATGGTCAAGAAATAATTCAACAAATGCTGTTCGATTACGCCTGAGTGCCAATAGAAATAATTCACGTAAATTAATGTTCTAATTTTTATTATAAAAAAAAAAAAATAGAAAACGGGAAAAGAATTCTATCGTATAATTATTTCCTACCCAGTCAGCGTCATTTTTCACAAAATCTTTAGCTATATCCACACGATCCCATTCTAAAGCTAAATATAATTGTTTTTCAAGTTTACATTGCATATTTTGTTTAGATGTATCACTACCCGATGTAGCTAAATAAAGATATATATATTGTTTATTAATAGAAGAATTCAATTAGTTTTTTTTTGTTGTCTAACCATTTAATAGTGCTTTTAAAATAATTAAGCCAAAATCAAGCTCAATTGAATCACGTGAATTAAGATTGATCACATTTAAGAAATTTCTTCGTTTATGAAGACATTCATAAACTAATTCAAAAGAGTCGTTTCTTTTATTCGTTGGAGTTGTTGGATCACTTGGACCATCGATTGCATAAACAGCATCTTTAAGTTCTTCACGAAGTTTATTTTTTATTTCTTCATCACGGCTAAATGAAAAACTTTCATTAGTTCTATAACAATGCAAAAACAATTGACTTTCAACTTGAAAATTTAACCCTTCTAAAAACGAATTCCTTATGCAACTCAACTATCGAACAATATTAATTCCATTTCTATTGTTCGTTTTAAATCCGATGTGTCTTAGCAAAAAACATATTAAATGATGATTCTTACATTATGAAAAGATCTTTTTAGGAATATATTGGAAATTAAAATTTTGTCAAATAGATTTAATAATTTTGTCTTTGTCAATAGATAATTGTTTTAAAATGGTAGGAATCTTCTTTTTCTACTAAGTGCATTGAAAGTATTTCAGACGACTTAAAACCTATGGATTATAGCCAGAATTTTGCGCTCTTTCTGAACATGAACTGAGAATTTTTTTCTCAATTTTTGTTCGAGTATAGTGCAAAAATCTTTGAAAGGTCCTAAAAAAAGGTTGTTAGAGCAGCCTCTATGGGGCTGAAATATGAAACTCACGTATATTCTTCAGCTTCATTGTACTAATATGCAATATAGATAGCATAAATTCATGAATTTTTTAATTTTCTGACAGGCGCCCTTATCTTTCATCTTCTTTGTTGATATTCGCTCAATATTTTTCATTTTTAACATTACTTTTTTCTTTAATTTTACATTTATATTATAAGAAGCATTGAACTATACGGCGAATGAAGCTATTATATATGTGTTTATGTATATCTATTATTTAAAACCTGGCCGCTAAGGTCTGTAATCTTCCCTTTCGTTGCTATGGTCTGTAAGGAGGGAGGGAGGAAGCCGCCAAATCTTGATCTTAAAACTTACACTCACTATTTTCTTCGAAAATCTACGTGAGTTTCACATAACCTAGTTTGAACGATGCATAAACTGGTATTTGTGAACCTATATATGTCCGTTTGAGAAGATGGTAGAAGTTATAGGACACGGTAGTTTTGTAGAGCAGACATTTCTCTATAAAATGTGATATTGAATTAAGTTGTAGCTTTTACAAAATTGACGTTTTATGTATTTTTTCAGAAGTTTCTCTTTGTGTAAAATGCCTTTTGGTCAAAAAATGGATTTCTCAGAAATGAGTGTGTAACAAGAATAAAAATTGAGATGTCTCGTCTCACGAACAAAGAAAACTTGAATAGTGTATTTTAAAGGGCATATTTTGTTCTACCAGCTGATAGAGTAAGAATGTCTTCAACTTTTAGTTGCGAATTGCAATAATTAAAATATAAAAAAGTACGAAGAAATTTCCCATCCAAACTAATTTTTTTAGACCCTTCAAAGATTTCCTCATTACTCTTGAACAAAAAACTAACAGAAAAATTTCTCAGCTCATATGCAGAAGGACAACGAAAAACTGGTTTTGATTCATAGGTATCAAGTCGTTTGATATACTTTCAAATGAATCACAAATGAGCAAACGTTTTGTGAGAAAACTTTCAATCCACTCGTTAGTTGCTAATGCTTTGATTAATTTTCGGTAATAGGATATAACTGACGAGGAGACATCACCAACTATCAAATCGCCTTTAAAACCGAACTTGCTGCACTATGTAGATCCTATTAAGGTATGAAAAACTGCAGAAGGATGAATCCCCTTAGGTAGGTCTTCTTGTCGACAATTACAGGCATTTTACTGCAATTTTAGCATATAGAACCATATACACCAAAATATCGAAGTATGATATTTTGAGCTGAGATTATGTCTAAATATAGTTTCATTTGTGAATGAAACATTCTAAAAATTCGAGTTCAAAATAATATTCCTTTCTAGAGATATTAGAGTCCCAAAGACTTCCTAAAATGCAAGGATTTTCTGTTTTTTTAAGGACTTTAATATCTCAGTAAAGGAACATCATATAGAGCTGAAATTTTTAGAATGTTTCATTTACAAACCGAACTATATTTATAAGGAATATCAGCTCGAAATATCATACTTCGATATTTTGGTGTATACTATGCTTTATGCTAAAATTGTAGTAAAATGCCTATTACTCTCGACAAAAGACCTATCTAAGGCGATTCATCCTTTTGCAATTTTTCATGCTTCAAAAGTGTCTACATAATGCATCAAGTCCAAGCTCAAAAGTGACTTGATAATTGGCGATGTTTCCTCTTGAATTTAATATTTTGTTTCTTTTTTGCAAAATATGTCAAGATGCGATATTGTATTCATGATTGTATTGCGTTATTTTTCTTTTCTAATTATCTAGAAGACAGAATTATTCGTTAAATATTGAAAATGACAGACAAATGGCTTTAACAAGCTGATAGAAGGATATATACAATTCTATGCTCATATTTACTTTATTAATGTTTCATTAGCAAGTTCATCATGTTGATAATGTCCTTTATAAAGGTGAAGTGCTTTAGCAAATAAATCACAACAACGACCTGTTCCTTCGAGCAAAACAGCTGGAATATTATTTTCAACTACTGCTTCTTTAACTATATCGAAATGAAAAATCACATTTCTAGTTTTATATAGATGGTTCTTTTCTACCTGTTCGAACTGTATTGGGACCACCTTCAACAACGATAAGAACAACAGGCACTGGTACTATATCTAAAGAGAAATCATTATAGAGGAGGATTTTAAAAAAAATTTTCATACGAACCTGAAGAATCGGTTGGAAGAGATTGAGTTACAGAAAAACTTCGATATAGAGTTAAAGCATTTGTTTGAGTTTTTGATGAGAAAAATCCATCTGAAATAGCTTCTTCAAGTTTACTACGAAACACTATTTCTCCACCATGTCTCCTTTCACTTCCATCGTCAACAAAAATAAAATTTGTATGATTTGATTCAAGTGGTGCTTCGCCTTTTTTGTTACTAAGAAATTTAGAATAATATGCATGTATACCCGGAGCATCGAGTTGTTCATGACCGGATACATAACCCCAAGTAGCAATACCCTACGATGATGTTTATCATTACAAACTAAGCGACAATATATTGTTTATAAAAACAAAGCACTTACAATTAAAGGAATGGGTCGTGAAGGATCAGGATTTATTTGAACAATTTCACCAACAAGTTTCATAATACCTGTATTCATGCCACCGGTAATAATCCATGCACCTACAATCGAACAATGAGAAATAGTATTCTCTCAACGACATCAATAATAATAATCAGCAAATTCAATAACTCATATTATGAATAATTTATGTAACTCAACTAGAACGATTCTATCATATTTGATTTCTTCTGATGATTTTCAAAAATCTGCCAGAGTAATTTCTAAACGAAATATTGACTATCTAGTCATCTTGCTCAGTAAAAATATTTTATTATTTTCAATACCAGTTGTTCGAGCAACTTTAAGAAGGCCACGTCGAAATGGTCTTAATATTTTTGGTTTCATTTCAAAGTCTTTTGCACCACCGGTTATCGATATAACAAGTGATGGACGCTAAATAATAATAACACTCAAATATGCATATGTTTGTTTATATATTATTTTCAAAAACAAAACACCCAAGAACTTACTTCGTGACAGCAATATCGATATAAGAATTCTTTAACATAATTCACATTTATATTATCTGGTACACGAATAAAATCTGCTTGATGAGATTTATTATGAGGAACTTGAAAATAGAAAGAAATATAAAATTTAAGTTTTTTAGTTGAATTCTTTTGACATACAAATTAATGTTCCATATGATTTAACATCCATTGATGTCAACGATTCCTGGACAACTGCACGAACATCGTTTGGTGTAGAAATCGGTAAAATTTTACTCACACTTTCAACAAGTACATTTAAAGTGGGTGCTGTTGCCATTATATATATATGTGTGCGTATACAATAGTGAACAACTCTAAATTAATTTAAAATGAAAGGATCTTATCAGATTTCTCAAACTCTTCCATTAAGAAAATCTTAATATTGGGTTTTGGTACAGGTCTTTACAGTACATTGAATGGTGTACAAGAAACTCAGTTTTCTTCAAGATTTGATGTGGTGAAGAGCCATATTCTGGTTAAAATCCATAAGGAATATACATAGTGCTCATAGATATTGTGATCCTTAGTAGTTTGGAAAATAGGCCTATTCTGATTGGTCTTAGAAATAAGTTCGATTGAGTTATAGATGCTATTCAGTTTTTTGTAATTAATAGTTTTTGTCATTGCTTCCGTAATACTTAGAAATGGTTCAATTTCTTAGACCTAAGCTTTTTCTGGCTATATGATGGCTCAATGTCTTCAGCACAGTACCACTGAACGTGCAAGTAGCAAGCATGTGGGTGTGACTAAAGTGTTCAAATACCCATACCCATACCATATCTCACACCCTTATTTTCCAAAATACTAGGGACCACAATATCTATGAGCACTATGTATATTCGTTACGGATTTTAACTAGTATATGGTCCTTCAGAACATCAAATCTTGGAGAAAACCGAATTTCTTGTACACTACCTGATGTGCCGTAAAGATCTCTATAAAATTCTATATTTAGATACTCTTACTGGAAGAGTTTGAGAAATGCGGCAAGGTCCTTATAAAAAAATCCTTTCAATCTATATTATTTTCCCGTATTCGATGAACAGCTACGCTCGTTGAAACTAACGAGGTTTTTCTATTTTGTAGCATGTAAAATTTCGCACGCCAGCATAACTGCTTCTGTCAAAAAAATGTCTGTTACTAAGGTGAACATTTATGATGTTTTCTAAATTGATACTAATCGAATTATTTTCTATTAAAATGCAAGTTCACTGAGATCGAAGTGGTTTTTTCTTTATGTATGTAAAGAATGCTCGAACATGAAAACGATTACTAAATTATTTTATATCGGTAATTGAACAGGAAAACACTTTAAATAGTAGAGAAGATTTCTATATTCAAATTCCAGAAGATAAAAACAATCTTTAGTACCACTTACTTGTGAAATACGATCTGAAAGGAGTCTTGAAATGTATAGGGTAGAACTTTGTACCCCCTCCTCGTTCACAACAATTACCGACCAAAACAAAGAAACCCAATACCTATCACATATCATGATAGATGAGCTTCAAGGTTCTATTGGCAATCATATAATAGGAACGTCTTATTCGAATACATATTGAGAAATTCTATTTACTGTAAAGCAAGCAGGGATGAAAAAAAAACAAGAACAAAAAGCGAGTTTTGAAGATGAGTAAAAATCAGTGCATCAGGTTTCACGTTTTAATCTCACATGAATAGCCTTAACAGCTTTTCTAAACAGTTTCGATACTTGAATCAAGAGTAATTATTTTCGAAATAAAATCTGTTTACGCAGATTATTGTATGTATTCTTATTAATTTTTACAGTAATATACAATAAACTTCGTCATATTATATTCGAAAACTTCTCTATAACAATAGAATAACTTACTCTACAAACAAAAAATGTTGAAAATTCACTCGAATGCAAATTTTACTGTATAGCACGAATATTGACTATCAAAAGAAATATATTTCGTTAAAAATAACCGATTGCAGCATCAATGTCGAATGTTGTTTTTTTCATACTGTTCATTTTGAAAAGTGTAAACAGGGATTGATCGACGATGCCGGCTGAAAAATTGCAATTCTTTGACATATTCGACGGCGGCTGATTCAACTCTTCTTTTTCTCTTTGATGACAGCAACTGAAAAAAATCAGAATTTCTTTTTCGTTCACGATGCCAGCAGCTAAATAATTCACTATATTTTTAACAACAGCCTCACATTTTTTATGACTTAAAAAAGAATTATTCTTTCGTTTACCCAGGTTTCGTGAGGGTGGGTGTGGGGTGTGGGCATATTTCATCTTTTTCATACCCACATCCACATCCTATACAACGCAAAATTTCAAATACAACGAAAAACTCAACGAGGATATAAATTTTGCAAAAGGATGTCTCCATTGATACAGTGTGTGAGGAAACTTCTTTCAAACAAAAATAAATGGTTTTCAATATTTATAAAAAGAAAGGTGAGGTAAAAGAATAGTTTTCGATATTGACAGAAAGAAAGCGTGTTAAATTATGATGCAAACATTTCAGAATTTTTATTAAATTTTCTCTTTTTTTTTATGCTTTACCTCACTTGTCGCTGCGTCTCTCTGTCTCGGGCGATTTTAGGGTCTCAACTGAAGAGAATGGTGTAAGTTAAACAGAGTGTCACCGCAATAGATGGCATTACACTTGGCTATTGCACAGCATTTCTCTTCAAATCTGAGACTAACTTTTTTGGTGGAAAGAGCGAAGTCCGAAATACAAGTACCATTTTGATCAAAACTTTTCAATGAACAGTCGATTGTGTGTCATTTGGAACATCCAATATTTCAAAATCATTCTTCATGAATTTGATGATTTAAAGATGTGACTAGCTTCAACACTAAACAATATGAATGAAGCAGGGTGTGGGTATGAGTGTAATTTTAGAGGAGATAAATAGTAAAACCCACGCCTACACTCTGCGATTAGCAACGGCAGCTATATCGCGTTTCATAGTTTAATCCCGCGGTAGGGATGGACCAATTTCAATTCTTGATTTGGAATTGGTTGTTCTAGAATTACTAATTTTGTACACATTTACATAAACTAATGATTCGATCCTTATTTTTACAAGACCAGTCCCAATTTCAATTCCGGTCAAAATTTCAATCAGTTCTAGAAATTAGATTTGCTGCATTTCTATCCCACAGGGATCACGCTAACAGTTTTTTTTTACATGTTTTCATTTTTTTTCCTCCTCTCTCTCTCGCATGCATTGCATTTTTTTTCTCGCTATAATACACTACGTGGAATGATGTAATGACATTTTATCACGTTTTTAGAACTTATCTTTTCGAAATTTCGTACAAAAATCTCTTGATATAATACTTCATATCAAGGCTCACATTCTTTTAAATTACCATATAAAAGGAGTCACTTTCTCTATACATGTCATGTTATTAATATCGATAATCTTTTAATCAAAAAAAACAAGTAAGCAAATAATAATATTATTTATTTCTAGATTTATTATTTTGCAATAAGAGTCATCTAAATATTTATGTCGCTCGATAAGTTCTATCAGTTCAAAGAATTTTATTCACAGAATAAGATGAAATTAATATCTCTACAACAAATGTTCCCAATAATCCTTAGAATATCTGATAGAAAGTTTCGATCTTTTATTCTACTTCTGAAATGTTTCTTTTTATTCATCAGTAGATATCAAATTGAGCTCCTTAGTTATTGTTTTAGCTAAGCTTGTTGCCTGTGAATAAGTGTCAAGTTTATCATTGAGATAATTGAACAGCAAGAAGTCCGAAGTAGTGAAGTTAAGCGAATATGGTAGATGAGTCATACCTTAAATTTCTTCATTTTAAAGGAAATTAATAATAACATTATTCAAACGCAGTCTTGTATTGTCCTGATAAAGCTTAAAACTATATACTATTTTTGAGTGGCCTCTCCTTTTTTAAACGTTTTAATTAATGCTTAAAAGTAT